TGGACACAGTTGGCAACGGGCTTTGTTGCAAGGATAGGTTCCTGGGTTAGTGGTTCTGTTGTGTGGTGTGTGGTTGCTGGTGAGTATTTGCTTCAGGTTGGGGGGCTGTCTGTAGGCAAGGACTGGCCTGTCTCCTAAGATTTGTGGAGAGCAATGAGTCGTCCTTCAGGATAGGTTGTAGATCCTTGATGATGCGTTGGAGAGGTTTTAGTTGGGGGCTGAAGGTGACGGCTAGTGGCGTTCTGTTATTTTCTTTGTTGGGCCTCTCCTCTAGTAGGTGACTTCTGGGTACTCTTCTGGCTCTGTCAGTCTGTTTCTTCACTTCAGCAGGTGGGTACTGTAGTTGTAAGAAGGCTTGATAGAGATCTTCTAGATGTTTGTCTCTGTCTGAGGAAAGCTTATGCTCAAATAAATTGGTTAGTCTCTAAGGTGCCACAAGTCCTCCTTTTCTTTTTGCAAATACAGACTAACACGGCTGCTACTCTGAAACCTGTAGTTAGGGATTGGTGAACTGGTTTGGATAAAATTACTCGTCTGAACAAAATTAATAAGCACCCCTTTGGTATATCTTTTTGCCTTAAATTCAAACCCAACATCAACTTTTAAAAAAGTTAATTGGACTTGTTTATTCTAGTTGTTTACCCAGAAACATGCTAGAACATATATAAAGATTCTTTCTTAAAGTAAAAAAAGAACTTTTCCCTTTCCTGCGGGGGGGGGGGGGGGGGGGAACCCCACCGCCACCTATAACAATGGTTAACTTTCAATTTTTTTAATGTGATCTTTGACAGGCATTTAATGGGAAGTTATACCACTAAGAAATTGACTTTTCCAGTCAAAATGAACAACTGACATAATTAATAGTTACATGTTACACAAAAAATCTTTGCTCCAGTCAGCATCTATCCATGACAACATTTTATTGGTATTTTCCTTGACCCTGAGAAGGCCTCCCATCTGCAATATGATCGCTGTCAATTTATTTCCCTACCATAGTATACCAATGATGATGGGAAGCATAAAATCTGATATCCTAGCATGGCAACTTTGTCCCTCTCTGTAATCTGCTATGAACAGTATCAGGGTGGGGAGACAAAAAAGATTTTTGAAGTTTACACTCTGCTATGAAATAAGAGTAACTGTATACTCCCTATAAAGGCTCACAGCATTTCTGGACTCTTTCAAAGGTAAAGTGGATTAATCTTCACTTCTCGATGGCTTTATATTACAAAAGTCCAGAGCCAGAATGGTAATTCTGTGCAGATTATAGAGTTCCCCTAAATTTCCATTGGTTAATGCTATATCCATCAGTTCCTACCTGCCCTCTAATAGTGATCAACTGTGATGCAGTGATGCTAGAACACAAAGGAGTGAGCTGCTGAAAGAGCTGTAATGGTACATCCAGGTGTATTTGACTTTGTTTTTCTAGATACTGAGACATAATGGGCTGCCTGTCTCCTTCAGTCCCAACTGACACATACTTAGTTCCATTCCCCATGCATTATTATTGTTACCTGCTTGGGCACCAGAGCAATGATTAACACAGCTTGGTGTGTTCCTCTATAATTCAGACTGAACTGGTGTTGTGATTAAGAGCTTATTCCTCCCTACTTGGTACCCTTAAGGGACTCCAGCCAAGATGTGAAGGGGGCAAAGGGCCAAATTCTGATCTCTTTTGCATCCACCTGCAACCCATTGACATCAATCGATTTGGATGGGTGCAAATGAGGCAGAATTTGGATTTAGCATGGGATTTAGGCTGCATTAATGGAGGCATAGCATGCAAGTCCCGGGAGGTGATAGTGCCACTCTACTCGGTGTTGGTTAAACTTCAGGTGGAGTATTGTGTCCAGTTTTGGTCACCAATATATAGAAAGGTTGTGGAGAAACTGGAAAGGATCCAGAGGCGAGCAACAAAGGTGATCAGAGGAATGGAACACAAGCCATATGAGCAAAGGCTGAAGGAACTGGGCACGTTTAGTTTGGAAAAGAGGAGATGAAGGGGGGACGTGATAACGGTCTTCAAACACTTGAAAGGCCGCCGTAAAAAAAAAAAAAGATGGAGAAAAGTTCTTCTCTCTTGCCACAGACAAGAGGCAATGGGTTCAAACCACAACAGAGCAGATTTAGATTAAATCTCAGGGGAAACTTCCTAACTGTAAGAACAGTAGGACAATGGCACAGACTGCCTAGGGAGGTTGTGGAAGCTTTTTCCCTGAAGAATTTCAAAGGGAGGCTGGATAGCCAGCTGTCTTGGATGGTTTAGTCACAACCAATCCTGCATCTTGGCAGAGGGTTAGACTAGGTGACCCTTGCAGTCCGTTCTAAACCTGTGGTTCTATGAGTCTTAAAATCACCCAGCAACTGCCTGATTTTGCTCCCCCTGCAGTCAGTGGTAAAGCTCCCTTTGACTTTTATGCCCCGGCCATCATATCTGAACTCTTCACAATCTAATGTACTTCCCCTCACTGTTTCCCTGTGTGGTATGACTAATAGCCCCATTGTACAGATGGGGCCTGAGGCACAGAGAGGCTAAATTATCTGCCCATGGTCACACAGAAAGTCTCTGGTGGAACAGAGACTTGAACCCAAGTCTTTGGGTAGTATCCAACCACTAGACTATTTTCCTCACTTCACTACTAAAGTTCCCAGTGATAGCCACAGGAGCACTGTTAGGCAAATGATATTTATTCTATGATCTTGCTCAACTCTGAACCTCTGTTCAGTCTGCCGTTGTGTCAGTTCAGTGTTATTTTATTTTGCTATGCACTGGGATGACACCATCAAACTGTTGACAAGTGCACACAACCCTCTACACAACAACAATGCCCAGGGTTACACTGAAGCTACCCCCCCTTTCCACTCCTGTGGGAGGGAAAGAAATGTCTCTTTTAATGGCAAATGTGCTCCATTACATTAGGTGACAAATCCCTATATGCCTTGATGGAAGATGTGGACTGAATGAGAACTGGCTATGTCCTTGCTTGTTTTCTGGCTACTTCAATCAGAGCTAGTGTATCCATGTGTGCAGAGTCGGACATATTCTTCTGAGACTATACAGCCACAAAAGGTTGTGCTTCTTTGGCAACCATACCCCCCCCCCCACACACACACACACATACACACTCATTGTCACATGGAAGCAATTGTTTAAAAGATGAATGATGATTCATATCAAAGCTACTTCCCCAATTCCCTGTTTGTGGTCCTGTCTGACTCTAGCCCCAGCTGTGAGACTGAATGAATTCCTGAATGACTGAATGAACTGACTGACTTCACTGCTTGGGAAATTATGCGACAGCAGCATCTCCTGGGTAATGTGGTTGCAAGATGCTGAACAAACGGGCATGTCGGTGGGGGTGGTAGCAGGAGACAACTCCAGCCTAAGGAGGTCAGAGACCTGTAGGAAGTAGCTGGGATCATGGGTATTGGAAATGAGTGAATGATGTCATAGATGGGAAGGAGCTGGCTACAGCCCTGCAAACATGGCTTGGCGTGCGGCCACAGAAAATCTAGGAATGACCCTGACTAGTGATCTGGCCCACTCTAGCACATGCTGCCTGTTTTACAGCTAAGGACATCTCTGCTGGCTGACTCTCCAGCTGCTGGGATGAGAACTGGTAATGCCCCTGCTTTCTGACAGTGGAAATCAAATACATTGTCATTCATCACTGTCAGGAGTTGGGCTGGAGTCTGCAAGATGCTGCGCTGCTCATGTGAGAACCCCAATGTCCTGATGTCCCACTGACTCAAAGTAGGTATTCTGCACCTGGCAGAATTGGGGCCTCTGGCTATTGGCTTCATTCCAGTTTTGTTTTCAGCTCTGAAAGGTTAGACTCTAAGCATCTGATTCACGTACCTACTGCCCAGCAGCAATGTCAGTGTTTCATTGGCACTATGAGGCTCCATCGGCATTTTCATTATTAAATACCAATTTTTTAGAGGGGCTATAACTGATCTGTAAAAATGTGGTTCCCGCTGAGAACGTGATGTAGAAAAGGTCTTATCCCAAGAGTGCAGATTTTGTTTTCAAGTTTGGGGTGGAGAGAATCCAGACTTGAGCTTTTATAAAAGTGCAAAGAATCAAAGTTAGGGAGTCAGGATGTGGTTCTGCGAGTCAGACATTATTAGGGCATCAAATCAGCAAAGCATTTAAACACAAGCTTAAATCCATCCCTGTTCAGCAAAGCACATAAACATGTGCCTAATTTTTACTGTGTACCTAAGTCCCATTGACGTCAGTGATTGAAGTTAACCATGTGCTGATGTGCATCACTGACTAGGGATGAACCAGTGAATCAGGACCTAGGGCCCAAATCACTGTCCCATTAAATGACCTGGGGTGACCATGCAATGAGTGATATGAAGCTGAGTTTGCCCAGCTGCCACATCCTTTGCTTTCAGCTGATTGTACGGACTGGTTGGTTCTTCAGTTTGTATTGATCAGATTACCTTAGGTGCTTGACATAAATGTGTGTGCGTGCGTGTGTGTATCAACAACAAGGGTAAGATTTTCAAATGAGCCTAAGGGAGTTGTGTGCCTGGGATGGGTTTTTATGTGTCTAAGGGACTTAGGAGCACTGATTGATTAGGAGCATTGATTTCCAGTGGGATTTCTACTCCTAAGTCACTCAGGTACTTTTGAAAGTTCCATCCCTTGATTTTGGGTGCCTAAAGCCCTTAAGCACCCAAAATAAATATAAAATTCTGCACTGAAAAATCCATACTGAGAGCCCACTGAGCTGCATGAAATCATCCATTTGGATGGAACAGAAAAGCAGTAAACTTAATTAAATAGATATTAAAACTTACATGAAGGAGTGAGAGGGACATTGACACCCTTGTCTCTCACTAAGGGGCTATCGGCTTCAAAGCCAGCAGAGCAGCTGTTTGGATCATTACTGGACAGCTTTTGTGGGGGCTTTTGAACAATGATGTCTTTGCACGAGAATGTGCATTTTGCATCCTGTGATGACATCAGCAGCTACTGCGCGGGATTCCAGCCTCAGCCGTTCTCTAGACTTCAGGCTGGCTGCACACACAAGCCAGCTGAACTCTGCCTGCCCACAGCAAGGGGGGACACTAGGCAGTCAGCTTGGCTTTCCTGCACGAATCTGGGACGCTCAGCGAGTTCACGCTTTAGGAATGCTCCAGAGAAACCGCAACAAGGGCACATGAGCGACTGCAGATGTGGAAGGTCTGTATGCAACGGACGCGATTTCCCTGCATAGAAAAAAAGAGACAACCCGAGGCACAAAGGCTGTGGGTTTTCTGACTCATTCCCCTGGGAGGGTCCTTAAAGCCGGAATTCCATCATCTCTCCTCCCACCATAAACATGGGATTTCCTGGCTGCACCTGCTTAGTGAGCTGGGGAGATTTCCAAACCTGCCCACAATTCAGACCTCTCCAGCTATTGTCCTACTCTCTGTCCCAGTTACACTCAATGTGAGATACACACACACACATACCCCATAGCTGTAACATACCTAGTAAATGTAGGTAAGAAATGACTACCCTATGAAAGGTGAACCCGAAAGCTACATGAGTAGAGGTTTATATGCCCCAAGGGGAAAATTATGCAAAAAGACAGGTATCTCAGTTTGTAATAGGCCCTACTTCAGAGGAGGTATTGAGTTTAAAAACAAAATGTTTTGGAACAATGTCTGGTTTTTTTCCCTTGCAAAGCAAATAAAAGTATTTTGGGGGAGAGAAGATTTAGGCCATAAGAGACAATCAACAGATGGATGTCATGCCTTGGGCTGCTAAGAAATTTGTCAGCTCTGCACATTGATTATTAGGGTGTCACTTTGTTCAAGATTTTCCAAAGTGACTAATAATTTTGGGGGTCCAACCAGAGACATCTAAAAGGGTCCTGATTTTCAGAGCGCAGGTGCTCTACCTCTATGCCAAGGTAGAAAGCACCTGCTGTGATGTCATCATATGTGTAAGGTACTTCCAGGCAGAATGCTACTAGCATGCTGAATTCCCAGGTGTGCCTAGCTAGAAATACTGGTTATAATAGGAACTTGCTAACACTCTGTAATACCTCCTGCATCTTAATGTGTGATGGCAGACCAGCAGCATCAAAAGGCTTTCAAATAACATATTTAATACTATTCCTTATCATCTTCAGTATTTCATTCTTTTGTGGGAAATAACAACAGAGCATCAAATTGCTCACAGACATGACCAATAGTTCTGATGAGATAAACACACACTGCCAAAGAATGAATGGTATTAACAGATGTGGAGGTTGATCTTGAAATACCCTTCTCAGTCTCTGTGCTGTACGGGGCAAAGCGTTCCTGTAAAGGATGTAATTTATTAGCTGGGATATGGCAAAAAATGCTCACTAGGTTCCAGACATTGCTTCAGCGGCAGGTTATAAAATGGCACCAGCCCTTTCCCCTGGCCACATGTTCATATCAGCAGTTTTGGCAAAGGTTGTCAGGATTTTGACGATGTTCTTCTCATGCCCACTTTGCCCTGTGCACGCAGCCTGCAGCCACCACTCAGTGGCTAGGCCACCAAAATGCTACAGTAACTGATAACCTAACTGGCTTCCTGCTTTAACAGCTTATGAAAAAATAACACTGGAGGTTTTTTCTAAGATAGCAAGTGTCTAGATCGACAATTCCCCATGACTTTATAGCTAGACACTGACATCCCAAAAGCATTAGTCTTTTGAAGAAATACGTACCGTACATACTGTATTATTTGAATCATAATATTTGGTGCCAGGACTTTGGCTTTTCCTTGCTATTTATTCACTAAGGGAAACCTTACGTACCAACATACTTGGTGCCCTGAGGTGGATGACAAAATTCCCTTTGACTTCATTGGGGCCCAGATTTCCCCCCCTCTTTATTTTAGTTATGGTTTGTTGATCAATGGCACCAGAAGGGGAACTATAGCCCCATAGTGGTGCATGTTATTATTTAGCATTCTGGTAGCACCTGTAATGTGGTGGGTATTACAACCCCACACAAGAAGTTGCTGCCCCTCTCCTGATGAGCTTCCAGTTTAGAAAGTCAAGCAGCATTCATTGGGCAGGAGGAGAAGAGTAAAATAAAGATACTTACACATTTTATTATACATTGGCCCAGATCCTGGGCCCTGGTGAAGCCACTTTGTGCCCGTCCATATACACAATGCAGCTGTAAACTCAGATGATCCAGGTAGTTGGAGGATTCTCCCACTGTGGGGAAATCCTTTGAGAGCATTGGTCTACTGTGGCAGATGCTAGCCCAACCCCTCCCCATCCCACAGTGTAGGGATGTGGCCAGGGAAAGAGGGTGTGGGCAGAATGTTACCAGATTCTGTGGATCTTCGAATGCTAGACCTTGGGACCATGGGTAGCATGATGGGGTCTACAGGGCCCACACTGAACCAAGGCTAGAGGGGACTAGAACAATACTAGGCTAGGGAGGTCCCACCCCTCACCAGGAGGAGGGCATGCTCCCAATGGAGAAATGGTTTAAAGGAAACCCAGGAGAGGGGGAGTGAGCTTTATATGGCACCAGGAAGCCAAGCTGATGCTTAGAGATGGGCAGGGAATGGCAAGAGCTTTGTGAAGACTGCTCTAGCAGCAGGGACTTGGCTTCCACTCCCCATTTTTGGGAGCTGAAAGCCCTCAGAGAGACTGACTGATTGAACAGGATGCTACAAGATTAAGGAGAGTCTGCTAGGCCAGTGAGCGTGCCTCAAACTGAGGAGCTCCAGACTGGTAGGAGGTAGCTCAGAAAGTGGGATGAACACTTTGAAAGACCCCTAGGACCCTGTGACAGGACCTGGTAGACTTGGTGGGCCTGGGTCCCCTAACCTTGATCCCCACTGCTCCTTTGCATGTTGCTCTCTGGGGGAGCAATTGGAGAATGGGGGTGTGATTGAGGCTGCAGCTGGGGCCCCCTCTGGGATGACTGGACTGGCAGAAACCGGAAGGCCGTGAGCTGACCACTAGACCAGCTGGCCATCAGACGTTCCTGCCACAGGTAGCCAGGCAACATTAAAGCAGTTCTAAGTATTCTTTCATTTACGCTGCGGAGTACTGAACATTGCCACTCTATCCAGAACCAGGATCCTATCTAGCTAGTTGGTTGGCTGTGGTTTAAGTCACCTTTGTCCCCACCCTGCAAGTCTTGAGCTCATCTCAGCCAGACCAGAGAATCAGGCTGGTGATATAAATCTTTATATACATCCTTCTCAGATGCCATCTTCCAACATAATTGACATGGTGGGTTTTCAGCATTCCTGCAAGTGAAACACTATGGACACAGGGCCAGTGAGCCTTGGACTATGGATATAGATGGGCATGGGCCTTGTACAGAAAAGCAAGATTCTCAAGAGCTATTGTAGTAATTGATAATGTACATTTTGGAAGAGATAATAAACATCATGCTTCAGAGTTTAAACCAACCTCTAGAAAAGGGGATTAGCAGCAAACCTACCATAGGGGGAAGATTATTTTACATCTACCTAGTATGAGGTTTCTTGCACCTTCCTATGAAGCATCTGGTGCTGGCCACTGTCAGAGAAGAGATAATGTACTAGATGGACCACCCCAACATTGCCTATATCCACAACACTGTGACGGGGTATACAGACCCCACACTGACCAAGAAGGGGTTAATAAGGGCATGCGAGTGCAACCCCACCCTGTTACCGCTGTGTGAGGTGTCAAGCCTGGAAGGAAGAGTTAAAAGAGGAAAAGCCCAGCTCAGCAGTGGCTGACTGGGAGAGGAGCCCTGTAAAGGAATACCTAGTTGGGGACAGAGTCTAACCAGAGACTCCTAAGTTTCAGAGCCTCCTTGGTACAGAACAGACCTTGCGCCAGACATTTTGGAGGGTTTTGTTCCCCATAACTTGTTTGGTTCCCCTTTTTAGGGCTCTGTAGAAGAGTCAGCTTGGGAAAAGACTATGAGAAAAGTCTAGCCATGGGCCATGGTAGGAAGCAGTCCAGAGGTACAACAGATGGTCTGAACAGACCTTATCTACTTCATATAGAGCACCTGGGTTGGAACCTAGAGTAGAGGGAGAGCCTGGGTTCCCCCATAAAGTCTGAAATCGGGCCAAAGATCCAGTGTGATGCTGTCAGACCACTGGTTGGTTGGGCTTGGTTTACCCTGGAAGGGGAAGGAATGAAAGCCACCTTGCCAGAGGGCTGACTCACAGGAAGAGGTAGATCACCACAGACGTGGTTGGCAGGGTTGCCTACTATGGCAACTGACAGAGGTGTTTGGTCCTTGTCAGGGGGCTATATTTTGTTCTCTGTTATACCAATGTCACTCTAGAGCAGCCCCACAGGAGTGAATGTAAGAGAGCAAATGTGGTCCTAGACCTTCTCTTGACTCATTGCAGGGCTCACTGTCCACCCATCCACCACAATAAATGCAAACTACTCCATAAAAAGTCTTTTTAAAAAAATGCACCTAAATGAAAGAAATCTCAAGCAAAAGTGGAAATACATTTAGCCACTTTGCATCCCAGCTGACAAGAGTCCATTGGTAAAAACACTAACTGAGCCCCCAGATGCAATTAATAATTTGCTGCTAGCAATAAAGACTCATCGGCAGACAAACAAGTGTAACAAAGAAGCAGGAGAAAAGAAATACCCCTTTGTCTTGTGCTTGGACTTGTTTCCCTTACTGGGACAAACAGTTCATCTGGGAGAGAAACCCACTGGCCAACTTGGCATCATGCCGTTCCTGGCATGTGTTAAACAGGTCAGTTGGTGGTCTGCTTACCCTGGCACAAACCTTGGTTGGATGTGTTTTCTCACAAGATTTCTTGCCTTACAAAAAATGTCCCATATAGTTTAATACCAAATGAGATCCTTTTGATAGGTTTTACAAATTATTTTATAGAATTTAATGGGCTAGAGAATGATATCCCTGTTATTGAATCCTGTAGTGTGGTTTAAAAAAAAGAAAACTTGAAAAGGAAGACAAATTCTGTAAGGCTACAGAGCCGTTTCTGTAGTCACTTATTTAATTTCTTAGAAGCCTATTGATTTCATCCCTATTAAATTCTATAGAACACCTTTTTAACACATATGCAATAGCTCCAACAGATGTTATGGGTTTGATATGGAAATTATTGGGTGAAATTTTCCTCTTCTTCAGATCAGACTAGATGATCATAATGGTTTCTGCTGACCTTAAAATCTATTAATCTGTTTTCCTAAGGGTTGGCTCTGC